GGCTGCCCTATGGTCAGTGGTGCTGGGACTTGCATTCCTCCCTGTGCAGTTCCCAGCAGCTTGCTCCAGCCTTTGCCTTGTGATGGGAGCCTGTGCAGCCCCTGCACTGCTACCTGCTCTGGCATGGGTGAGGGGGGAAGCACTGGGAGAGGGTGCGAGTGCCTCACTCCAGGGTGTTTGAATCGTTAGGTTTCAGCAGAATTTTTGGTCTCACCTTTCTGTGTTTTTACAGCTAAGGCTCTTTTTACTTCCCAACTTTCAACATCTGGAATTCAGTTTGAGTTTATTAAAAAAATTTCAAAATCTGCAGTCTGTATGAAACACTGATGTCTTTGCGTTTTGCCCGCAGTTTTTTTGCTTTAATTTTGTATCCTTTGCAAATGCCAGAAATCCTAAGTAGTTGCACATTCAGTAGCTGCTGCTTTCTTCTTTGTCTTAATCTTAAGCAGTTTTTTTTTTATTATTTTTCCACTTAGACACTTTTCTAATTGGGGATAATACCAAAATGATTAATCAAATTAAGTGTGAGAGCGAAGTGGCTGATGCACAAAGCCGCGTGTAGCTGCTGTCTGTGCGCAGTGAGGTTGCCTTGCTGGAGCTGCTGTTGCTTAATGGGCCTCTTAGGCTTTTTTTTTTTTTTTTTAATAAGGTACTGTGTAGATCCCATTGACTTCAGTTGTTGATTGGGATGCCTGACAGCCGGGAAATTAAGCCCCTTCTTTGTGCCGGAGTTGAAGGCCAGATTTTCAAGGATTTTCAATGCTTAGCACCAATAATTGGTGTTAGGTATTTTTTGGAAAAAGTTCAATTCTCATTTGGGCACCTAAATAAGGGTGAGAGATTATGATACTTGTAGCGACTGGTGTTACTGGGCTATGGTGAAGGCTTTTTGGAAGATCCTGGCGCCAAAGCTCGTTATTTTACTGTCGAAATAAGAGCTTTGTTCTTTTGCGTTCCTACTTTGTTTGCGGGCGCTGAGCGTTTCTGCAAATTCTGATTGTGGAGGAGAAACTTTCTTGCTTCTGCCTCCTTTTTTTTTGTGCTTGCCTTAGCGTGTGTGGAGGGAAGGGGGAGCAGAATGAGTTGAGTAAATTAGACAACTGTTGGAAAAAAGGGGACATGCAAAATCAAGTGTTCTACTTGCGTAATCTGTTTAACACCAGCGAGCCATGGAGCCTTGTGGGACACGGGAATAAAAGGAACATCTGTGCAGGCCACATGGCATGCTCTGGAGGAGCCCTCCATCCCAAGCAGCTCTGCTCTATTTGCAAATAAAAGCTCCTGCCGACATCAAAAAGTTGAGGTGGATCCCAGCTGAAAGGGAGAACAAATGTTACCTTTCCTCGCAGCGAGTTCCTCCTGTATGCAGCCTTTGTGGTCCTATTAAGGATGCTTTTGGCATGTGTTTCTGATGGCAATTAATGTTGGTTTGGTGTTTTTTTTTTTTTTTTTTTGCTTTGTTTTTGTTTTTTAAAGTTATGTTGGAGATACATCCGTGTTGAAAAATTTTAGGAAATTGCAGAGCTTCTCAAACTAAAATCAAATGCACATGAGATTGAAATAAGAACAGGGATGATAAATATGCCTATATATATATGTATGTGTATACACATATATATAGTTTGTTTGTTTGTTTGGGTTGAGCTGTTTGTTTTTGTTGCTGTTTGTGATTGCTTGTTTGCTGTTCTAAATATTTCTTTGTTTCTCATCCCCTGATGCCCACGCCCTGAGATGCACAGCTCTGCAGGCTGCTCTCCCTGCTCTCCTTTTGCTGTGGTGACGGTGTTTGGTAAACAGCCCCATCCCGAGGTGGGGCCCTGGGGAGCTGTGGCTGCTCCAGCCCCTCTCCCTGGGTGCTTGCAGGACTCCGAGGACGAGCAAGCGAGCATTTTGTCTGCACTTGTGTTTTATCTCCACTTGCAACCAGTTGGAGTGCAGCACTGCTCGCAACGATGCACTGAGTTCATGGCTTTGCATTCTCTAGACAGGCTGTATTGTAGTCTGTATCAAGAAGGCATGTATTTTTTAATATGTAAATAGGAAAGGATGGTGGTTTCATCTCTATTCCAATGTACCCAGGGTGGCAATAACGCTTGTTTAAATCCCTGTGGAACAGATTGTATATGGCAAAATTAATGTCTCAACTCTCCAAGTATTTTCTCTAAAATATTTGATTTTTTGCATTTATTGTGTTGCTTGTTTCAGATAGAGAATGGTATCAGCCATGCATTCAAAGCTTAATTGGTGGAACACAGATTTATTCTAATTCAAAACAGTCACTTAAAAACAGTTTTGTGTATATGTATACATGGGCACAACTTTTCGTACAGTTGTCTGTTTTGGAGCGGTCTCTTAGGCGCTGATGTACGAGTTGAACCTGTTTTCTTTTGTGCAACATGGCTTTAAGAAATCGTTAGTGAAAACAGTATTTATAGTTTCATTGCAGTCAATAAACATCCAAATGTGAGTGGTGCATTGAAGTTCTACCTTTGATGGGGCTTTGAAATGTATCCTGCAGAGCAGAGCCACAAGGTGTGTGTATCTGTGAGTCTGTTCCATCAGCACGCCGCTTCTCAGGCTCCCAGCCACATGTTTGTGTTCCCACTGCCTTGGTTGTGTGGTGTTCCCCACCAGCTTGGTCCTGCTGGGAGAGGACCAGCCTGGTGCTGGTGGGATGCGGTCGTAGCAGTTCTCCAGGCCATCAGACCCGTGTGCCTTTGCTGTGGAGATTTAAGTAGTGAGATATTAAAACTTGTCTTTCAATCTGTTCAATATTGAGAAGATTAATTTTTGTTAGGGGCAGACTAATAGGTTTCCTATTCTGATTAATACAGTGATAATAAAAACGATGTGATTGCTGGGATTAATGAAACGCAGGTTCATGTTTCAAGGTTTGATTGACTTTGTACTCCAGCTACGCTGAAGCTGCTGTGTCTCATCAGCCCTTACTTAGCTGTAGCCCTCAGAGAAAGTATATGGGAGTGAGGCAGTGCAGGGGAAAATCTGTATTGGAGGACTTATCAGAGAATCTTCTGTGGGAGAAGTTGGTCCAAGAGCAGTTTGGCTTTGCTCATCTCTGCAGGTTGATTAGAGCTGCTGTCTTTAACCCAGCAGGCTATTTTTGTGAAACGTGCAGGAGAGGAGCGTCCAATTCAAATGTGTGGGCACATCATTAAAAGCCTCAATTTGTCAATGCCAGATCGAACTCGACTGCGTGGGCAGATCATTAAAGGCTTCAGTTTATCAGAACCCATCTCCCTGGCGTTCGTCTCCCCGCAGGCAGCATGCTGTGTCCCAGCTCTCCGGGCCGTGCTCCGTGGAGGAGCCACAGCAGCCTCCGTGCCCACAGGCCTCGCTGGGCTCCTTCCCTTGCACACCTCCAGATGTGTGATGGTACAGGCTGCTCAGCAGCTGTGATGGGCACAGGCTGTGTGTGTAGGTGCAGCTGTGCTCTGCCCTGTGCTCATCTGCAGTAACAAACCCAGCCTCGGATGTGTGTTCTGGCGCTGTTTGGTTGCTCCTCTAAAGTGTTAGCTCCTCATGAATAAAGTAAGGCTGATGCAGGATGCAGGTCACTCTGGTTTGCAGGTATTTCAGAGCCTCTGAGGAAGAAGTTGCGTTTAGCAGATCTGGTGTTTGAAAGGCCCTCTTGGATCTATTTTTGTTGTGCAGCACAGTTTTATAATAGGGTCGCGTAATCCCTATATTTAGGTTTCTGAACTGTTGTGATCATCTTTGAGCCATTGTATTGCATTCAGCTAAGAATGGGAAAAGCCCCGAGGCCAGAGAAGCATATTTAAAAAAAGGAAAAAAAAAATACCAACAAACCTAACACAGAAAAGCCTCCACCTTTCTCCCTTCTGAAATTCAGTGCGGTTGTTGCTGAGACAGTCACTGGCAGATGGTCCTGAGGAAGGCTGCTGTGGTGGTTGTCTGCCACAGGTTGGGTCCTTGGCGCTGCCTAAGTGCTGGTTCACGTGGAGAGCTGAGAGCGGCCACTCTGCTGGGGATGGTCTGCGGGGAGAGCACCAGGGAATGGAAGGCAAAGGCAGCCCTTGGGATTTCAGCCTTCATATTTTTTCCTACCCCAGTCCCTCGGGACCCTTCTTCCGTTGCAAGGCTTGTTTTCTCCTCTGGAGGTTATAGCACAGAGGCTGTCCCACGTGCCCGTGCATCCATCAGGGCAGCAGGCACCGGAGCTGCTGCTTAAATCCCACCTGATTCCATGGGTGCAGTGCTCGTGTGCCTCAGGCCCTCTGCTCCTGTTTCTCAATATCAGCTCGTACTCAGCGTGGATGTTTTGTCGATGGAGAAAATATAACTCTCTTTTAAAACCCTTGTTAGTAAAATGGGTGTTTAATTTGTACCGCAAGCAGCTTCCTCTGAGCTAGGCTTAAACTCAATCTGTGTTACTAATAGCTGGGGAAAAAACATACTAATTGGTATTTCTTAACTGATGTTTGCAAATTTTGCCTTTTCACCCTGAACATCAAATAGTTTTTGTATGTGTTTATCCTTATCTCAGAGGGAAAATTATTGCTAACAAGAGATTCAACATTTTGTTAAGGTTTTATCAGGATGCAGTGAGTGCAGGCTGAGAGTAAATATTTCAGAAACTCAGGCTGTTGCACTTCGATAATGCAAAGTAGGTTAAAGTGTCTGAATTTTGTGAAACAGGGCACCATTTTTGAACAGAATACGGGTTTGGCAGCTGACACGTTTTGGTGTTTAGAATGAACAAAAACTCACCTGTCGGAGGAGCAAATTGCAAAATCTGAAATAAGAGCATATTTAAAAACCTTTCTTAATACTGTAAGTTTCAGTTCCATTTAAAGCAAAATTCTGCTGTGTGATAGAGCGATGTTTGATGTGTAGAAATGTTCCTGTAATGCTCCCCACACCTTCAGCACTTGTAACTTCCTTTTATTTTCAAAGGAAAACGGTGGGCTTTGATATGATTCTAACTAAGTGAAGTTTTAAAACATGTTTTTGTCTTTCAGTCTCCTGAGAACATTTTTTTCTGAGTGATTCCAGCTTCCAGACATTTGCCATGATAAGGGTTTCGATCCTTTCCCATATTTGCCCTGAGTCATGAGTGGATATGTGTGATGCCTGCAAGTAAAACTGGTGAGTCACCAATCCCAAGTTCGGAGTAACTCTCACTCTTTCTTACAATCTCTCTCTCCCTCACCCCTTTTTTCTTTTAGATATGGTGGGGATTTGGGGTTCCTTTTTTGTACTGTCTGTCTTCATAAACAAGTCACCACTATTTTGTACCTCCCGAATAAACACGTTAATTGTATTGAAATATCCATGATACCAAATACTATCAATAAGAAGGTAGGCTGCCTGGCTTGCTTTCTTCCCACCATCCCCTCAAGGCCGCGGTGAAGTTGTGAGCTCTGAGGGTTCAGTGGTGTAACTGGAGTTCAGCGATGCAAAACCGCTGCCCAGAGCTGGAGCCATACAGACAGACAGGGTCTAAACATGCTTGTGTGTGCAATTCATGTAATGATTAAATATGAATATGGAGAGGCCTCCACTCCATCATGTGTCAGAGGCTTTGCTCTCAGAGGAGCCATTGCCAACAAGTAATTAGCTCCACTGTTTGCTGCACTTACATCCCAGTGACAAAATGGTGTCACTGGTACACAGCAGAGCCAGCCCTGCTCAGCATGGCGTGTGCTGCAAAGCTTGGCTGCCTTCGTCATGGGGGGACAAAGGGAGAAATCCTCCAACAGCCAACTTGGACAAGACAAAGAGAGTGGGGAAAGAGAAATCTGATCATGCAAGAGAATTGCAAGATCTGTGTGAGAATTTGTTACAAACTGGGAGATCTAGGTAATTAAATCCATAGGAAATGGGAGCATAAATTGTTTTGTTTTTTCTTTTCTTCAAATAAATTTGTGTTTCTGTTATAGTTTTAATATCCCTCTGTGTGTTAGGAAGTGCATTACGTTTCAGAGATTACAGAAACAGAGAAATTCACACATCAGTGAATTGTGATTTTTTTAAGTTTCCATTTTTTCTTTCTTTCTTTCTTTCTTTCTTTTTTTTTTTTTTTTCCAGAGGTAGCATAATTACCATGTCATTTAGCAAAGATTATAATAGCTGTTCAGATTTTACCGACTGGTGTAGTAAACAGTTGAATAAACCCATATGGCAGCTCAAAGCGTGCATGCAAGAGAAAGATTCTTACCAATTCCTTCATGTCTGAATTACCGATCTTGCTGATACAACCAAGGTCCCCAAGCAGGGAGCAATTCCAGTCTTATCCAGTGATGCAAGAATTTCTCACTGCTCTGTAGCATGTGAATCAATTGATTTTAATTGTGGTGGTTAGCTAATTAATTATTTCTTTTTTCCTATGAAGTATGCATAGGAAACTTGGGGTTACATACAAGGCACGCGCCGCTATTTAAGGCAGCCTGTGCATATACTTGATGCATTTCCAATCACGGTAAATAATATCTGGAGTCCAAATCTCTCTGTTCAAGTCACCATTAGAGGCTGAAAACATGGTATTGTGATAGCCCCATGGCACTGCTTGTAATAGAACTTGGTGTCTGGTCTCAGTGGTAGCAAACAGAAGGACCAGGGTGTCTTGAAGTATCCCCTTAACCCCATGGGTTGAATTATGGAGATATGGAGCTGTGGCCAACTGGCATCCTATGTAAAGACAAGGCATTTGAGCCGTGTGCCCTCTGGATAGCTTCTGTATTAAAAAATAAAAGCAAAAAGAAGGATTGTTAACTCCCTCCAAACGCTGACTTGAACAAAGGAAAAGATTCATGCTATTCACCATAAAATTCACTTACTTCCAGTTATCTTAAAATTTTCATGTCACATAATAGGTTTAAAATATCTTCTGAATGCATTAGACTCTCTAGGTGCTTAGAAAATATTGCCAAATAATAATATGAAATGAACAAGCGTTGAACAGTCCCACTGGAAAGGAGCAGTTGGCCAACACTGGTGCTTATGTTCATCTTAACCCTGATATATGGCCAGCCCTCTGCCATAATTCTATCAGGAGATGGAAGTTGCCTAGCAATGGACTGACTGTAGAGGGTACGTGTTGAGCTAATTCAGTTTTTGTTCTCGTTTCCTTGAGAGTTCAGCTTAAAGGAGTGATCCTTTCTCCATCTGCAGCAAGAGCCACTTCTTGGTATTCTCTCTCGTTCCCCACTCGAGTGTCCCTGATGATGTCAGGAATTCATTCATGGCCTTGCTTGTTTTAGAAGTTTCCAGCTTATTGAGTAACCAAATGTGGTTTCTTCTGATTGTGTTGGCTGAATACGTGGAGCCTTTCGAAGAGACGAGAGCTTTATTTGAAGCGGAGCATCTAGTTGTATACCATTTTATGGCAGACAAAGGTCATCTAGGGTAAGCAGCCAGAACAGTGAATTGCCTCATTGCAACACCTAGGAAAATGAAACAGAAAGATACGGTGAAAGGTTTTAACAAATGGCTCATCGTTACGAATTTCTGAAGTCAAGGAATTGGTGCTGTGTACGTTTCTAAATTGGAGATAACCATGCTTGTACAATAAATTGACTTAAGAACGGAACAAATCAAGGTGATGGGGTGGTACTGAAAACCCCATCGTGCAGCACTGCGTGCACCACAGACCCGCGTGTCTGCATGCTGGGAGCTGCCCAGCCGTCCTGCCGAGCCCTGCCCTGCTGTGCGGGGCGCTGGGCAGGAAGCAGAGGGCTCAGCTGGGGAACGGCGGTGCCTCCGCGCTTCTGTCCTCCGAGTGCCTCTGCTGAGACATCTGTGGCTCCAGAAGGACTTTGCTGTTCTGAAACTTTTCTGTCTGGAACTTTATGCTGGGCAGAGGAGGAGGGGAGAAGCAATTTTAACAATTTAATAAACTACATAATATGTTTTATAAGCTGGTGTGAATGCTCCTAAGTATTTTGGTCTTTTTTTCATAACACAATGAACCTAATATTGGTAAAAATACAGATCTTAGCTGCCACCGTAAAGAGAGGCTAGATTTAATAAACAGTTATGAATGTTGGCAGCTGCCTATCAGATTGTATAACATCGGCTATAGCACATGAAGACAGTGTCAACTTACATTTTATCTCAGAAGTATTTTCAAAGCGTTTATTTTGCTTTCTCTTGAGTCCTTAACCTAATTCAAGTTATATAATTGGCTGAATATTTTTCCACACAGCTAATTGGCTGGGTGCCAGCGTGGAAACCATTGTCTGACTTGATGATGATCAGAAATTAACATGACATTTGCGTGGTGGTAATGGAATACATTAGTAATGTAATTCATGACTCTAAGAAAGAGACCATCATCTCCCACCTCTGATCAGCAGGAGGGGCTGGGGGGATGATGAAATGCTCCCAGCAGGCACCTCACAGCAGTGGCTGGCCAATCTCTATGTCAAATTTAGTTTTAAATTCTTCAGACAAAGCTGTAATGCTTACCAATTAATTACTACAAATGTCAATTAAAAATCTACCAAATAATACAGTAAGATTAAATTTCAATTAAAAAAATTACATTTAACAAGGAAGATACAACATTATTTTAATGAATTCTGCTGAAGGTGACAGTTTATCTAGATATATTTATACCGTGTAGGTGGATCTAAATTCATTGGATGATGTTAACCATGTTACCCCGTATACTTATTAGTTTTGAAAATTATTTCTACTTGGGCTATGTCCTGGAGGAGAGAGGGTATCAAGGGGCATTTCTTACCACCAGGAAAAAGGGGAATTTCACGCCTTTTAAGTACAAAAATAGCCTCACACCTAAAATGAGGGCTTTTCTGTAGATATCGACACCAGCTTTTTAGCTGTGTTTTTCATTGCTTGATGTTTATGAAATTGAATACAGGGTTTCTGTTGTGGTAGTAGAACAAGCTGTAACTTTGCTGTGCTGATTTACTCTGGACGGTTTTTTGAGTGATCTGCTTTCCTGTACAGATAATAGCCATTATCCTGGCAAATCACTTAACAGGAAGAGACTTTTGCTGTGTGAAGGTGGGGAACTTCAGGTCTTTTTATCTGCAAAGCTTCACCCCGGCTTGGTAGGGCCTGTGAGCTAAATGAAGTCTCGTAGTTATACTGCTGTTGCTTGAAGACATGTTTTGAGCCCTGCATAGCAGATGTGTCACGTGGAGTTGGGACTCCGAGTGTGTTTGTACAACGGCACCTTGGATGCAGGGTGCTACCCTGCAGAGTAGGTCTTGTAGCTGGAATTCCCTAGAGTGGTGTGTATTTGTTTTGAGCAGGTCGGGTTCCTGCAGGCAAGGAGCTGGTGGGCAGGGGAGAGCTCTGTGGCATTCAAGCCGTGTGAGCCAAGGACTCTGTGTATCATCTGAAGAACAGCTTTCTCAGCTTCCTTGCATTTATTTTCGAGAGCTTTTATTGTGTTTTCACACCATCCTGTCTAAAAGAGGTAAGAGGGAAGGCATCATTGAGGAAACAGATTTTGTGTGTCAAGCCAGCACTGAGAAAACACGCTCCCAGGGACCAAAAGGCTCCTTCTCCTTGTAATTTCAGCAGGTTTGAATGTGAAATAAAAACCAGCCGAATGCACACATTGAAAATCAGAAAAGCCAAAAACTGCTCATGGCAGGTTAAGTAATGATAGGCTGTTCAGTAGATGGGCTGCGGTGCCTTGCTGCTGTTCCAGCTTTGCCTGTCGGTGGGTGAATGCAGCAAGCACCATCTCTGTCACTGCCATTCAGGTACCTTTGGGTATTGGTAACAGCTTCACAGGATGAGTTCTTCTTCTTGCTATTATCTGATAAAGCTATAATCAGCAGGAGATGGGAGACAGCATTTTGTTCCTGTAATGGCCTCAGGAAATGGGTGCTGTGGAAGTGTAAGAGCAGCTGAAATGTTTTCTTACCAGTCCTCACAGACAGCAAGGCAATGGGGAGAAAGGTGGAGCAAGGCAGGCGCATTTCCACGCTGGCAGCCAGAGAGCTTTAAGTAAGAAGGCAAGCAGGGCAGAGTGGGAGCGTGTAGCTTCTTACCAGGGGTAATGGTGTAAGGAGGCTGTGGGCCTGGGGCTCCCACTGGCCAGGCAATCAGGTGGGAGCTGGAGCTGCTGCACTTAAAAACCTATCTTCCCAGGGGCTTTCAGCTCTGCA